AGGACCAGTCTCAAGCATTAGCCCTTTATTATAAATGTCCATTTATTCATGTGTTCATCAGCTTTTATTTATTTATATGAAAAGTAGAGATACAGAGAGAGAAAGAGAGATCTTCCATCCGCTGGTTCACTCCCCATATGGCCACAACAGGAGCTTCCCCCGGGTCTTCCAAGTGGGTGCAGGGGCCCATGTACTTAGGCCAGCTTCTGCTCTCACAGGCACATCAGCAGGGATCTGAATCAGAGGTGGATCAACCAGGACTCAACCAGTGCCCATTTGCGATGCCAGCACTGCAAGTAGAACCTTCTATGCCACAGCGCTGGCCCTTCATCAGCTTTTACTTATCACCAACTATATGTAAGATACTATAGAAATTTCTGGATGATGCAGAGATTACCTACAGATCTCTGTAAAGATCTTAAAATCTGATAGAACAAATAATTCATGTGTATAGTATTTTAAGATAGTATGTGTTCTATTAGGAAGTTATTTATGCAAACAGGACAGTAATTAACAAGAGCTGCAATAGAAAGAGCCTTAACCAAGAAATTAAGAGGGCCTTGCACTGTAGCATAATGGGCTAAGCCTCTGCCTGTGGCACTGGCACCCCATCTGGATGCAGGTTCATGTCTCGGCTGTTCCTCTTCCAATCCAGCTCTCTGCTTATGGCCTGAGAAAGCAGTGGAAGATGGCCCAAGTGATTGGATCCCTAGCCAGTGGCTCCTGGCTTTGGATCTGCTCAGCTCCAGCTGTTGTAGCCATCTGGGGAGTGAACCAGCAAATGGAAAATTTTTCTCTGTCTCTCCCTCTCTGTCTATAGCTTTGCCTCTCAAATAAATAAAATCTTAAAAAAAAAAAAAAAAGAAATTAAGAAACAAGGAGTACATGAGAATATTACCAGTGAGAATCTGGAGTGATGGGTCATAAAAAAGATTGGGAACACTGACAGATGGTAATCTTAATGAGACCGAATATCAGGTAGAGACACACCATGAGAAAGAGACATTTCAGAAAGTAAAATCAAAAAGAGCAGAAAAAGTAAATTATGTTCAAGAAACCTTATACATCCAGCCTGGTCAATGGTGTAAGTGAGGAATAGGAAAAAAACCTGGAAAGCTTGGTTAGAACCAGGTTACAGAAAACTTTGATAATGGGCTTCATTTAGCACTGGTGTACAAGAAGAATTTGGTGGTGAGGAGACAGGCAGAGACTGCAGACTAGTAATCTAAAGTAGGAAGAGCCTGGAAATGGAAGACTATTCATTTCATTAAGTACCTCTTTGTGTGAGGCACTGTGCTAGGTGCTGGGGATGCAGTGAGGACTAGATCCTTGCCAAGAGGAAGTTTCCAGTCTAGTCATAGACATTGGCCTCAAAGGTTCCTCTGTGTACAACCTTGGCCTGCTGATGCTGATCCTTGCCTGATTACTAGGGAATTGGGTCCTCACTGTACATGAATGTATTCTGTACCCTCTAAAATGGCTTCCATTTTTGAGTCAACTAAGACAAAAAGATCCTAACTGCTGTATATAAAGCAAAGCAATTTAAATAAGACAAGAATACTACACTAGACAAAGTAAAGAGGAAAATGATGTGTGTGTCAAAGAAATAAATGAAGATGATGTAGAGAATGAATTGGAAGTTATATTAGTGGTAACAAAATGAGTGAAGAGGCTTTTGTAGTAATCCGCCTGTTTCATTATAGGTCTGAACTAAGATAATATGAAAGGAAGAGGACTCCTTGGTGGCTATGTCCACTGTAATCCTTTCTGTCACTCCCATGGTATAACTAAGGAGTGGATAGGTTACTCCTGTTTGGAACTGACTATTGAACAGAGGGCCACAAAAACCACAGAAAACAGTTCACTTCTTCAGACAGAGTCGATAGTGCTCCTGTCAAGTAGTCTCTTTTCTGGTCCCTTTCTAACTTGAACATGGTTCTACAGCCTTCACGTTGATTCTGCAAACCTCTTGATAAATCCTTGGTTTTGCTTTAGTTAGCTGAAATTGTTTCCTAGTGCTTATGATCAAAAAGCCATAACTGACATTGTATGTGATTTGAGGCACTTACGGATAACGAGGTAGAGGCTGTTGGAAACAGGAACTAGACAAGTGGTTCCTGAAGCGTGGTCACTGAGATAGTATAAGCATCACCTGAGAGCTTCTTAGATATGCATATTCTGAGTGCCCACCCCAGACCTACTGAATATGACATTCTGGAAATGGGGCCCCAGCCACCTGAATATTAACAAGCCCTCTGAGTAATTCTAATACATACCGTTGTCTGACAACCAGCTGAACTAGAGCTTCAGTGGGAGATGAGATGTAGAGACAAAGGCTTGTGAATCACATTTGTGATAGTCACTGTTGGGGGAATCAGCCATCCTCCTGGGACCATCTGGCTTGCTTGGGCCTATCTGACTCTCCCATGGAGATGGAAACAGTATTTTAGAGAACAAACACACAGGTCTCTTGAGACCCAGATTTCAAACTTCTGCCTCATTCTTTTGACCAAAGCAATTTACATGGCCAAGCCTATAATCAAGAATTAGGGAAGTGGAATTCACCTTGTTAGACAAATTGCAAACTGACAAAGAGCATGGGTTTCTGGGGTTGGGGAGTGGATGAAGAATCAGTGCCTCTAACACCACAGTAGGGATGACCTGCATGTGCCTAAAAGTAGAGCGGAAGGCATATGTAGAATGAGGAAAAAAGGAAAGGAAGTAAGGAGGAAGACCAATGACATAGGTCAGAGAATTGACCTTTGAAGAGGAAGCCTACTTCTGGGAATGCAAAGAAGGGAATTTGGATTGGATTTAGCAGATTAAGACACCAGATGCCTAGTTAAAATTGGATTTCCATTAAACAATAACTTTTCAGTATTAAGTATGTTTCATGAAATATTTGGCTTTCAGTATATTTGCTATTTTTTACTATCTGAAATGCCATTTAAGTATGTAATGTAATATGTGAGACGTACTTGTATTAAAATAATCCTCATTATTTGACAATCAAATTTAACTGGACATCCTATGTTTTATCAGGCAGCCTACTTTGGTTAGATTTAAAATAATTGTTTGATAAAAGGATCTACAAAGGGAAAGATGGGTGTATTTTGGGATTTAGTTCTGGAAAAAAAAGTTTGAAACAGCTTTTGTGGAGTCTGAAGTGTCAGTGAAAAGACTGCTGAGCAGTAGAGAAGTTCCACATAAAAACAGGCAGTCTGACTTTTTCTTGTATTTAATCAGCAGTAAAATGTCACTGCTGGGGAGAAGTAGTGGCAGACATGTCTGATACAGGGGACCACCTTGGTTTGACTTCAGCAGGAGAGACCTGTACAGGAGGTTTGAGCATAACTGAGATGACTGGGGTCTGGGCTGATCAGCAAAGCAGGCAAAACCAACAGGTGAATTGGGAGGAACTGAGAGTCTAGCAGTCACAGTGAGTCAGTAGAAGGGAGCTCACGGAGTGTGAATCCACAGATTGGAGGAATTGTCCTGTATCATAAAGTCCAGTTTCACGTTATAGAACTGGAGCTCTGGAGACAAGGTACCTGGTTTTGACTTCTGGTTGTGTGACCTTGGTCAAGAAATTTAACTTCCTGTACCTTAGCTCTGTATTTGTAAAACAGGAATAATAATGGTTCTTACCTCATAGGGTTGTTGTAAGGATTGAGTGAAAAAAAATGTGAAATATCTAGAATAATGTCTGACATAGTAAGCCCTCACATGTTTGCTGTTTTATTATTTTAAATACAACTTAGGGACAGGCGTTTAGCCTAGTGGTTAAAAAACTAGTTAAGATGCGTGCTTCCCACATTGGAGTACCTGGGTTTCCTTGTTGGCTCTGGCTCCTGATTCCAGCTTCCTGCTAATGCAGAACCTGGGAGGAAGTGGTGATGACTCAAGTAATTGGGCCCTTGCCACCACTATGGGAGACCAGGATGAAGTTTTGGTTCCTGGATTTGCCCTGGCCCTGATCTTGCTGTTGTGGTGTTTTGGGAAATAAACCATTGAATGGAAGATGTAAGCCCCCTTCCCAAACCCCTCCCTGTTTGTGTGTACGTGTGTGTGTGTGTGTGTGTGTGTGTGTCCTTCTCCGTTACTCTGCATTTCAAATAAATCTTTTTTTAAAAAACTAAATGTTAAAAAATTACACTTAGGGGCCAGTGCCGTGGCTCACTTGGTTAATCCTCCACCTGCGGTGCCGGCATCCCATATGGACACCAAGTTCTAGTCCCGGTTGCTCCTCTTCCAGTCCAGCGCTCTGCTGTGGCCCAGGAAGGCAGTAGAGGATGGCCCAAGTGCTTGGGCACTTGCACCCGCATGGGAGACCAGGAGGAAGCACCTGGCTCCTGGCTTTGGATCGGCGTAGCTCCGGCCGTAGCGGCCATTTGAGGGGTGAACCAACAGAAGGAAGACCTTTCTGTCTCTCTCTCACTGTCTAACTCTATCTGTCAAATAAATAAACAAATAAATATTACATTAAACCCATAATCAATAAATATGAATGCCTTAGAGAATGTGAAAGAAAAAGTGGCAGGGCTGGCACTGTGGTGTAGCAGGTAAAGCTGCCACCTAGGGTACCAGAATCCCATATGGGGACCAGTTTGAATCCTGGCTGGTCCACTTCTAATCCAGCTCCTTGCTAATGGCTTGAAAAAGCAGCAGAGGATGGCCCAGGTATTTGGGTTCTTGCACTCACATGGGAGACCCAGAGGAAGCTCCTGATTCATGGCTTCAGATGAAACCATTTCTCTCTCTCTCCTTCCCTCCCTCCATCTCTCTCTGTAACTCTGCCTTCCAAGTAAATAATTATTTTTTTAAAAAAGTGATAAGTAATAGTATATATTTTCTTCTTGACTAACAAATGTTATGTTTGGTAAATATGTATCTGTTAAAGTATTGTTAAACAACCTTTATCATTTAAGGTTGTTTTCTGTATTGTTGTTACAAGAAAATCATTATAATGCTCAAGTCATATCTGTCTTATTTTCCCCTAGGTGACCCTGCTTTGGGAATTTCTTAGTTTGAGGAATTCCTCTGGGCTCTGCCACCCAGCAAGTTAAAGAAGACAAGATTCCTCCCAGGGGGTTGTGGTTCTGGGAATGTGAACAGCTTGTTTTCATGAGATCTGTACCCTGATCTGGCTTACTGTTAGGAGCTGCAGTAGTGAAGTTGGTTGTGTTTTGTTAGTTGTTTTTTTCTAGCATACATACATATTTTTGTAAGTTACTTGCATATAAAGGTTGTTGAAAAGCAAAAGTTTTATGCAGATGTTTAGTTACTCGAAGAAAAATGAAAACTATATGAAGTAATTATTCATATGTTATAGTTTTCTAAAAGAAGCAAAAGTATTAATTGATGCTGTTGTCTGGGAAGAAAATGAAGACCAGAAAATGACCATGCTCTTAGGGTTTGAAAATAAAGTAATATTGTTCTCTGTTTGAAGGGAGCCTTCTAAGGAGTTACCACGGTCTCATACACCATCAACTTAAATGCATTCTTTATCTTTAAAAGGAAGCAGAATAGAATCATTGAGTAAATCACATGTGTTCACAGTCTTGTCTGGTGTAATCGTATACTACACAAACACATTATTCTGTTGTCAGGAGGGTAAGGGGACCTCTGAAGCAGGACTTGCCCTTGAGGAGACCTTTTTCTGTTTAAAGAATAGTGCAGTGAAAGACCACACAGTAAAAGATAACAGGAAAGATCTCCCAGGCCTTCCCCCACCTTTGTACTTTCTCATTCTCCTTTGTTCTCTAAGGACATCTGTTGTAATGATTATTCTGGTTAACTCATAGGTACATAGCAGAAGGCGTATCATATTTCATTTATTATTTTGTCTACTATAATTATTGCTCTCTTATATCATACCACTGTGGGCTTGTAAAATATTTTGTTTTTGAAAGTATGTTAAAGAAATGTATTAATTAAAAAAAAAAGAAATATGTTAATTGGCTATAGATATCTAAAGAGTAAATGTTTTAACTCTGAATTTAATAAAATTATGTCTTAGGAAGACTAATAGTCTTCTATTAAGCTACATCCTGAAGAGTTAAATATACAAAAAAGATATTTGAAAATATAATTTTTCCTATTTATGTTAATTACAGTGGACTTTTAGATACTTTAAAATAAAGTGAAAATATATAAAGATGGTCACTGTTGAGATGTTTTATTTGAAAAGTTGATTAGAGTATGTATTTTGCTTAAGCTTCTGAAAGTTCTATTTGGTAGTTAAATCATATATCAGAGTGACAATTAAAGCAAAGTAAAATCGAAAATGGAATAATCTTTTCAGAAATGTACAAAAGATCCTTCATTTACACCCAACTTTGAAAGGAGACCTGCCTCAATTCAGTTCTGTTTTATGTTGTATAATGATTTTTTTTAATGTCATACTTGGGTATTTGAAAGACACTCTTAATTAAGAACAGCAATGATGTAAGATTTCGGAATATCTAAAATGGATGCATTATTTCAAATGTTTTCAACATTTTGATAGTTGACTTGCTGTGTACATTGTTGCAATTCAGAATTCAAGTTTTTGCCTTTTGTTAGAACTTCTTTCATTGCCACTCAATTTTGTCCTAGGTTGATCCCTTGGAGACTTTTTTTTTTTTAATTCTCTGCATTTTCCCCCAGAAACCTTTTATTTAAGGAATACAAACTTAATAATTTCATAATTACAACTTTAGGAACATGGTACCATTTCTTCCCACCGTACCTGCCCTCCCACCCCACCTCCTTCTCCCCTTGAGGATTTTTCAAATTTATGTTTGAAGAGTTTTTTTAACCTCTTTGTTATACAAAAAAATTAAACTTTTTATATAAAAGTAAAGCTCATAGTATGGTGAACCCCCAACTTAAGTTTGTACTTTTAGTTACATATTAGCACAGGTATTATTATTATGCAACAAGTGTTCAAGAACTTAAGAAATATTTGTACTGAGTGCACATTTGAAAGAAGTTATGTAAATCAAACTTTTAAAAATATCCAGCCATTTCTGAACCTATTACAGGTTGTATTTCAACTTTTGGACCTACAAACATTTCTCATAGAAACAATCTAAAAATGGCTCCAGAGGAACTTCAAAAAGCTCATACAAAATACATTGAAATAATGCAGGGGCATGTGTTGCAGCACAGCAGGTTAAGTCACCACATGGGATGTCCACATCCTATATCAGAGTGCAGTTCAAGTGCAGACTACTCTGCTTCCCGTCCAACTTTCTGCTTGTGCACTTGGGAAGGCAGTAGATGATAACCCAATTATTTGGGTCCCTGCCACCCACATGGAAGACCCAGAGGAGTATGGGGCTCCTGGCTTCTGCCTGGCCTAGCCCTGGATGTTGTAGGTATTTGGGGAATGAACCAGCAGATGGAAAACCTCTCTCTTTCTTTCTCACTCTGCCTTTCAAATAAATAAATCTTTTAAAATAAAATGCACATTTCCATTGACTTTTAAATAAGTATTTAACAGGCAGAAAGACAGCTCCCACCCACTGGTTCACTATCCCAATGCCTACCACTGCAGTGCTGGGCTGGAACCAAAACCAGGAGCTGGAACACAGTCCAGGTCTCCCACATGAACAGCAGGAACCCAGTTACTTGAGCCATCACAGTTGCCTTCCCGGGTCTGTATTAGGAGGATGCTGGAACCAAGATCTCCAGTTAGGGGTGAGGTCCTCACACTCCTATCTGGAATGTGAATATATTAACACTAGGCTAAGTGCTGGCTCCTCCAGGAACTTTTTAAGCCCCTCATACTGGCTTTTTAGACCAACTCTCAGTAACTTGCTTATTAATTCATCACAGTTAAGGGTCACCTACCCACCATGATATATATCCTTTTAACGAGAAGATGCTTCCTTTGCTATTGGACTTCTAGGGAGCACTGCTACTCATCTTTTTGTACTGAGAATGGCAGGTTGTGAATGTGGGAGTCAAGCTCTTCTATAACAGGGATCACGTCTGTCGTGGGTCCTTAATTCTCTCAGCAAAAGTAGCAGGAATCCAGTGGAGACAATAGTGGGGTGGGGGATGTACTCAGTATACACCACTCTGAAATTATGTACCACTTCCTCTACTGGCCTCAAAGAACAGAAAGGAAAACTTCCTTTATGAAATAAACTACTCTATGATGTTCTAAAGTTCACATTTTACAGACTTTTTTAAAGTGTTCTTCTGATTCTTCTGTTTTTTAATATTTATTTATTTATTTGAAAGGCAGAGTTACAGAGAGAGTAACTCTCCATTGCTTCCAAAATGGCCACAATGGGCTGAGGCTGGGCCAAGCTGAAGCCAGGAACCCAGAACTCCACCCAGGTCTCCCACAGGGTGACAGGGACCCAAGTACTTGGGCCATCTTTCACTGCTTTTCCAGGCACATTAACAGGGAGCTGGATCAAAAGTAGAGCAGCTAGGACTCAAACCAGCAGTCGGAAGGTGGCATCAGAGGCTGTGGCTTAACCCCATTGCACTATATCTCCAACCCTCTGACTATTTTCTTCTTTGACATAGGGGAACAATCATTGTCGCTAACTAAGACATGCCTAACACAACAACAACAAAAAAAGTTTCCTGACTGTTAAAACATAAAATTGGAACATAAAGATAGTAAACTGTCAAGAAGCTAAAACCAGGTTGTTGTAATAATGCTTATAAGGAACCTGTAAGTACTGTGACCTTATAGAGTGTCTGGGAGGGACAGATGGAAGCAGAAGGATGAGCTTCACTGCTTTTGTCATGCCAACATACTCTCTCTCTTTCTCCAAATAGAACTTAGGGACAGGCATTTGGTCTAGTGGTTAAGACTCCAGTTAAGATGCCCAGATCACACATCAGAGTACCTGAGTCTGATACTCTGCTTTGACTCCTGATTGCATTTCCTGCTAATGTAAGCCCTGGGAGACAAAGGTGATGATGACTCAAGTGGTTGAGCTCCTGCCACCCACTTGGGAGACCTGGCTCCCACTTGCCCCTGCCACTGGTTGGGGGCAAATGAATTAGGGAATGGGAGCTGTCTCCCTCTCTCTCAAATAAACAAATAAAATCAAACATAAGTTCCAAATCCTTCTTTGAGCAAGACTTTTACTAAGAACTGAGTCATAAATTACTCTTCATCTACATACATATAAAATCAGAAGTGTAATACAATAAGTTCTTCAAGGATTCAGCAAAGAGACAAAATCCATAACAGGAAGATAACTAAAAAGAAGGCCAGCTCAGAACTAAAGATCTTAAATATTACCATGTGACCCTTAGCCAGTGACTTCAAACTTCCCAGAAATGAATAGTAGAAATAAATCATCTCATTGTGGCACAGCAGTTGCACCACTGGCATCCCATATTGGAGCGCCAGTTCAGATCCCTCTACTCCACTTCTGATTCAACTTCCTGCTAATGTGCCTGGGAAGGCAGTGGATGATGGCCCAAGTACTTGAACCCCTGTCACCCATGTGGAAGACTAATATGAAATTCCTGGCTTCTAGCTTCAGCCTGGCCCAGTCCTGGCTATTGCAGGTATTTGGAGAGTGAACCAGCAGATGGAAGATCTCGCCTCTCTCTCTCCTCTCCCCTCCCTCCTCCCTCTCCCTCTGCCTTTCAAATAAATAAATCTTTTTTTTTTTTTTTTAAAGGGCCACTAAGCTCACTAGGCTAGTCCTCCACCTTGTGGCGCCGGCACACCAGGTTCTAGTCCCGGTCAGGGCGCCAGATTCTGTCTCGGTTGCCCCTCTTCCAGGCCAGCTCCCTGCTGTGGCCAGGGAGTGCAGTGGAGGATGGCCCAAGTACTTGGGCCCTGCACCCCATGGGAGACCAGGATAAATACCTGGCTCCTGCCATCCGATCAGTGCGGTGCGCCGGCCGCAGTGCGTGGGCCACGGCGGCCATTGGAGGGTGAACCAACAGCAAAAATAAATAAATAAATAAATAAGACTTTAGTTAGAAACAAATCCCATGAGGCTTAGGATTAACACTGATGAACAATATGTTCACTAAATTCTCATTGTCTGATACAGTGCAAGCATTCAGTATTTGTTGATTGAATCAGTAAATAAATGTACATATACATTCAAGTCCTGAAATACAGTGCATCCATGTAAAAAGATATTTTCTCATAGCAATCCTACCCCTACATATTTACCCCCATACCTGAGTCAGCATTGCAGATACACTATACGTGTACAACACACTGGATTTTGAAGAACTAATATAAAAAATAAATAAAAGATCTTCATCATATCTTTTACCAATTGTGTATTGAAATGATATCTCGACATTTTGTGTTAAATAAAATATGAAAATGAATTTTACCTGTTTCTTTGTACTATTTTAATGTGACTACTAGAAAAAATTTATGCTTGTGGTTTGTGTTTTTGGCTTGTATTATATTGCTATTGGACGTTGCTGGCCTAGAATAACTGTTAACGGGATTTTACTTGTATAAACTTTACTCTGGGTCTTAAATCACCAACATAATTGAAGAAAAGGATTAGCACTACGTTAGTGACCAATTTGGCAACGGCTGTGTATTAGCATAAACATTCCTAGAAGCTCTTAAAATCAGTAAGCGGAGATTGAGACAAATAGAAATCAAGAAATTTTAAGGTCATCAAGTTCAAACCGCTCATCCTAAAGAATTATTTGTTGATCTGATATAGATATATTTGGTACTCAATATATGCAAGCTACTAAATAGGAACTCAGGTTACAGGTAAGTTAGTTAGGTGAGCAGCTTTCCCTGGAGAAGCTAAGAATGATGGTATTACACTGTAGCGGCATCCAGATGGCATGTTGACAGTACTGCTCTCAAACAGAGGCCAAGGCAAATAGACTCCATTTTCTTGAGGAAGAGTCAGAGCAGCTCCACCCAAGAGGACTCGTTTGGGCTGGCTTTCTATTTCCCCAGATTTTATAATTTCTTCTATTTGATATTAATGGTGCAAATAAGGCTTATTAGGATTAGCTGTTCATTAAGCAATCAATATAAGACATGCTATCTCCTTTCTTTTCCCACACAAAATGGATATGCCCTCTATTATGAGAAAGCAAAGAAATTTAAGCCAGAGATATTTTGAAAGTTTGAACATGATTGATAGTAGCAGAATGAAATTTGAAGTGTAGCGGTAGCACAGTCAACCTTCAATTACGTGTGCAAATGAGGGGCAAGGATTGCTGAGATGATTAAAAACTGTGAGTGAAACAGAAAACTTGTTTTAGGTATTATTTTTATAAAAACTCATTAGGAACGTCTTACATTAGAGGAACTATGACTAGAATTTATTCTTGTGTTACATTTCATTTCCCTTCTGTGAAGCAATGAAATGACAAATTTAGGGTAAATAATAACTTGTGGGTTATGGAAATTCTTATTACTACGAGGGGTAGAATGGGCTGAAAATGAGTCACCCTTTAAAACACCTTTTTAGTTAAACTCTGGGCCTTGCCCATGATGTTTCATTCATTTATAATATTTCAGTTAAGGGCTGCAGTTTCCTGGAGTGCATTCTTACCCTGCAGAGAGGCTGCTGTGAGGACAAGCCTTCCTGATTACATTCATAGACTTCTGGCCCTTGTGATCATGGATTGGGCCTAATGTGAATATTATTCACTTCCAGTCAATATTTTCAAAATTATCTAGATCTGGAAAAAGTGAAAGCTACCTGAGAGTGGTCACATGGACCCTGCCTGGGAATGAAAAATGGCTTAAAGCCATTCAAACTCAAAACTTGAACTATGCAGAGTAAAAAATTCTACCCCAATTCTCTTCCCTCTGCCTGTGAGAGTAATCAGCACCCCATTTTTAGACACTTCAATGTTTTATAGGAACCAATTAGTCTGGTTAATTTTGCTTCATTCATAGCAAAAAAATGGAGCATATTTAGTCTTTGGTTGCTTCTGAATATTCCTAATGATTATATTTGAACATCTCATTCCCATACTTGAGCAGTAATTATTTATGGGAAATAGCCTAATTTTTCTTCAATAATAATCTGCCATCAGGCACACACACATGGAAGATCCATTACCATATTGTTAAAAATGTGTGCGTTGTATACTTCTTTGAATGCACTGTTGGGGACTGCAGGAGATTCCTGTATCAGAACACCTGTGTAAAGTTCCTATAATAGGAGTATTTTGGATCTGACATTTACAAAAGGCTTAGATTCTGGGGAAAACATATACATGCAAGTGTAGTCCAATAACACAATTTATATTTGAGTTCCTTTTTCTCAAATATGAAGTTTTAAGAGATTATCAGACATTTTAGAGAAGTAACACACTGTTCATGTCTTGTAAAACACTAAAATTGCTTTTCTATTACCCTGAGTGACATCAATAGAAAAAACATAAAATGATAATTAGTCTGCCGTCACCTCATCAGAGATTTTATAGATTTGTAGTTTGGATATATAGCCTACTTATGACACAACATGTACTCTTATTTATTTGAGATTTTATTAGATACCTGCAGGCGATGAACAGAAACACTGCTTTTCTTTTCTAAGCTTTCTGTGTGAGGTTGTCAGGAGAAAGCTTTGTGGTCTTTTCGAAAACATGTCTAATATTCTGACCCTTACAAGAAGCATATTCCCCTCTGAATTAATTTTTTCCTTAGAGTTTTCATTTTAACAATAATCTTAGGGTAAATGGGAAATTATTAATAAAAAGTGCATTTAAATTTATGATGCACTGGTTCTTCTTTGAAGATAGTCTTTTTTTTTTTTTTTTTTTTTTTTTGACAGAGTGGACAGCAAGAGAGAGAGACAGAGACAGAGAGAAAGGTCCTCCCTTTGCCGCTGGTTCACCCTCCAATGGCCGCCATGGCCCATGCGCTGCGGCCAGTGCACCGCGCTGATCCGATGGCAGGAGCCAGGTGCTTCTGGTCTCCCATGGGGTGCAGGGCCCAAGCACCTGGGCCATCCTCCACTGCCTTCCCCGGCCACAGCAGAGAGCTGGCCTGGAAGAGGGGCAACCGGGACAGAATCTGGTGCCCCGACCAGGACTAGAACCCCATGTGCCGCCGCCACCAGGTGGAGGATTAGCCTATTGAGCCGCTGCGCCAGCCTGAAGATAGTCTTGTAATAAGAAACAAATTCAGGGTGCTGACTTGTGACACAGTCAGTTAAGCTGCCACCTGTGACACTGGCATTTCATGTTGCCTGTGAACACTGGTTCACATCTCAGCTGCTCCACTTCCACCCCAGCTCCCTGCTAATGTGCCTGGAAAAACAGCAGAAAATGGCCCAAGTATCTGGGCCCCTGCAACGCATGTGGGAGATCTGGATGGGGTTCCAGGCTCCTGGCTTCAGCCTGGCCCAGCCTCTGCCATTGTAGCCATTTGGTAGAGTGAACCAGTGGATGAAATATGTCTCTCTCTCTCTTTATCGCTCTCTCTCCCTTTCTTTAACTCTGCCTTTCAAATAAATAAACAATTTTTTAATTCAGAACAGAAAATCTCAAATATAAGAAAACTGCAAACGTGCCTACATTCTGTTCACATTTCACCATACCTTCCTAAGTCATACCCACCCTTACTTTAGGGAAGGATTTGCTCTCTCTCGAGTAGCATATGCATAATGAAGATGGATAAACATTGATAATGACTTGCATCAAAATGATGCTTTCTTTGGATACTTAGATATAGGAGCAGGAGGTTAGAAATATTTCAAACGTGTCTTGGGTTGAAAAGACCAACCATAGCAAAGTTATTCATTCTGTTCTACCGATCAACTGCTTGACACCTTCTCAGGTCATTGATACTTATCTACCCATCTACCTTTTCAGCTCTGCTTCCTGTTCCCCTGAGAAACTGGAGTAATCTGAAAAGAACTTCCACAGACCACCCTTCCACCCGCACCAACCATACCTATATCTGTGCTTTATTCCCTACCTGCTTTTTTTTTTTTTTTTTTTTTTGAAAGGCAGAGTTGATAGTGAGAGAGAGAGACAGAGAGAAAGGTCTTCCTTTGCCGTTGGTTCACCCTCCAATGGCCACCGCGGCCGGCGCACCACGCTGATCCGATGGCAGGAGCCAGTTGCTTTTCCTGGTCTCTCATGGGGTGCAGGGCCCAAGCACTTGGGCCATCCTCCACTGCACTCCCGGGCCACAGCAGAGAGCTGGCCTGGAAGAGGGGCAACCGGGACAGAATCCGGCGCCCCCACCGGGACTAGAACCCGGTGTGGCGGCACCGCAAGGAGGAGGATTAGCCTAGTCAGCCGCGGCGCCGGCTACCTGCTTTCTTGTTCATATAAATGAAATGTTCGTCACTCCATAACTCTGCAAGTTGTGCATAAGAGCCCATCCCTTCCCCTACTCAGACAGTGATTCAGCAACTTGCTCCTCTTGAATGCATCACCATTCCCACCCACTAGCAGCTCATCCCAGTTCAGGTGAACTGCAACTATCAGTTCTTTCCTGATATCTTGCAGTAGCTCCTAGCTGGTCTCCTTTCAGACTCTGCTCCCATTCAATCTATCTTAACAGCCATAATAATTCCGTTAAAATTCAAGATCCTATCACTGCTTTGCTCAGCACCCTCCAGAGACTGTGAAAATTAAAATCCCTACAAAACCCCTGTTGGTTTTTCCTGCCCACTCCCTCTTTTTACCTAACTTAATATGCTTACCCCTTTGCTTCAGCTAATCCTGCACCAGCCACACTGACACCTTTATTTTTATTTGAGAGACAGAAAGGGAGAGTGCCCATCCACTGATTCATTCCCCAAATACTCTCAATGGCCAGGGCTGGGTCAGATAGAAGCTG